CCCATCCCATGTGCAGTGCTCTGTTTTTAAAATCGTCATTCATGTGCGCTTAGGTTTTTCGTTGAGGAGCATTTGCCAAAGCGTGGCCACCACGGGCATTACAAGTGAATATCAAAAATCACTTTTGTCTGTATGCGTTAAATCGCAGCAGTCGATGAAATGGGCAGTGTCAGGGGAGAAAGAATTGATGATTGGGAAACAGTTACCAATGCTTGCAATAAAATATTTAGAAGTAGTCTAAAATGTGGCATATCACGTTCCACACATTTGGAATTGCACAAATTAGTCATAGGAGGCATGGAAATTACTCAGTTACGTTAAAAAGTGAAGCTAATTTTACGCCTGCAGACTTCCACATGGACAATAAACATTCTTACAGAATTTCGGCTTACTGCTCAGACTGATCACGGAGTAAATGGATGCGAAATTTGAAAATTTACTCACGTGTAACGAGAGACCTAAGCGTAGATGTAAATCCGATTTATCCAGTTCTTGTCTTTCATTTCTGTGGCAGTGTTCCCCTGTTACGACGAGGTTACGGATAAACGACGACGAAGCTTGGGTGACAAGACGGACGAGGCTGTTCGGAACGCTGATGATGCTGTTGACTGTGCTTGGTGAAGACGCCGGGTTAACCAAATAAACTTTATCAACACAATAAAAAATATACAGTCAAAATTTGGGCCGGATGGGCTAAGAAAGAAATGCAACGGCACCGCTGTCAACGGAGAAAACGTTGAGCAGTTCTAGAAATTCAACACTTAACGCTGAACACTGCTCAACTTTACAACAAAACGACACGCTTATATACCTATCACGAAGGGCGGGACAGATCACAGGGGATCGAGAGATCAGTCTGTGGTGCGATTCTAGATTGCTCTTTGCTTTTTTTGGCGCGCCATCTTTTTCTCTACACCTCCTTGTGGAAACTGAATTACTTGGGTGGTCTGAGCATTCCCTTCACTTGATTGCGTTTTGCTTCTCTTCTTACAGTGGTCATTTTGGGTACTGTTTTGGTCACAAATTCATCTTGTTTGGTATGCTGGTACTAAGCAATTTTGGGTTTCTTTGAAATTTAAGTGAACGTGTTTTTTGTCGTTGAAAACCGAAATTGCATACATTTTACAAATAGGCTCGTAGCTTGAATTGTAGTGGAGTTATAAAGCTGTTAGGATTTCAGCTGTTATAGGATCTAAGGTTAAGCTTTTAAAATCTTTGTTTTTCAACTTGTTTAGCTTTGAAATTGGAAATACATGGCATAAACATGTAAATAGAGCCGTATTAAATTCTGCTGTCTGCTAAAGACTTTAGCGGTGCATCAAGTTATCCATTTGGGCTTTTGTATAAACATAGTATGAAGGCTACAAGACACAAGAAATTACGACTGCATGAACGGTTTAAGCACGGCAGCAAGCAACTTTCATTGGCATAACACAGTGATTTGTTGCAGGGATGCTCGAGATGCAGTTCATGGTCGTGATGGTTACGATTTTGATGGATGTCGCATCCGAGTGGAGCTGACGCGTGGTGTTGGCCCCCGAGGACCAGGTGGCCGTCCATTGTATGGGCCGGAGCCGTGGTCTCCAAGAGGGCGCGCCCAGCCTCCTCGACGCAGTGGCTATCGTGTTATAGTAAGTGGACTTCCTGATACAGGCTCCTGGCAGGACCTCAAAGTAAGCTTTTTCTTATCCGATTTTGTGCTTGTTTTGCAGATACTGTGTTTTTTTTTTCCGGGCATTTTATACATACAGCGTTTCTTCTCTTCTGATGTCTGATAAGCTTGGTTATCAGCAAAGCGATCATTGTATCACCGCCAGCAAATTTTTTCCCGTGTATTATGCTTAAAATGCCTGAAACATGCTCTAGGCAGTTTTTCCGGTTGTATAAATCAGTTGCTGCATCGCCTGGTGATCAGCCTGTTGGCTACTCGTTTTATCTCCCTCTGGTGATTACCAGCTTTTCGATTTTCCGGGTTCAAGCATCAGCCAGGACTTTACTCGTTTCAAAGTATTTTTGATGCTTGTTAACCTACTACTATTGTGGCGGGAAACCTGCGCAAAAGCGGACAGAAGGAATCCGCCACAAAGAAAAAGGTAAAAACTGTCCTGTGGAGGCAGAGGAAAAAGAAGGGTATATTCTGCCTTGAAAGGCGGCTACACAGTAAATGTGCTGCTAGGTTGACCCTGGAACATAAGAGCCGGTAGTGCAGTGGGTGGCACGTCACATCTGGTTATGAAGGTCGATGATTCAGAACAGTTTTCGAAAAGGGGCCCCGTTCATGACAACTTATCTCTTCCTGAACATTGCTACTGTTAGATTACCTTGTCAGCTGAGTTTTTTGAAAATACCATTTACCAAAGTGAACACTGCCAACGTACGCTCTGTAAAGAGATTAGCTGCTTATCGTTTTGGTTACTTTGGTAGTGCAGTTACCTGCATCCCTGCAGTGTATATGATTATGCATGTTATTGTAGCTCGCGATATAAATATGATTAGAGATAGAACAATGTGAAAAGGAGTGAACACGGTCATTCTGTCGGAAATTACAGAAGGATGACCCAACAGCGGCTAATTGAGTTGAGGCGTATACGTCTTTTCCTAGCTCCAGAACTCGGATTTAGCAATAATTTTACGGCGACAGTGTTTTAGAAAGACCGTATATAAGAAGTAAGTGACAGTAGGTACTATAACTGAAGCCTTTAATGACATGAACACAGTCATGGAAACGATGCTACGGTGAAGAGAGATTTGAGGCAACCTAAATCTTTAAATCTTGCCTTACTGATACTGTCACCTTCATCGTCTTAGTCTGTACTGTAACAGTTTAGGGACTGAAGACTGGCGCTCCTAAGACTTTACAAAAAAATGTGTCTTTCCGCAAGATGGTACAGGTATGCGCCAGGATTTATACTTATTTCTCTTCTGTTGCTTGCATTTTTCTTGGATGAAGTGCAGTGGAGAAGTAGCTTCGTATTGATATGTTGATGTATGGAAATTTAGGATCATATGCGCGGTGCTGGCGACATATGCTATGCAGACGTTTATCGAAATGGTACTGGCGTAGTTGAATACACCAATTATGAGGACATGAAATATGCCATCCGGAAGTTTAATGACACCAAGTTCAGATCGCATGAGGTAATGTTGCATGCATGAGCTGCTCTCCTCTCAGCCTGAGAATTGGTTGCTTGGACATTTTTAGAGCACTCGCAAGACTTTTCAAAAGTGCTTAAACAGATATGGGCTTTTTTTTGTCTTCTTTAATTATGCGTTTTTGCCGTGCAGCGCTAGAGCGCTGCAACAGGCAGCAAAAACGCATATTACAGCGACCCTGTCAGTGTGTGTGTGTGTATGTTTGTGTGTGTGTGTGTGTGTGTGTTCGTCTGTCCGGG